GAGTACCTTCCATGATAGTTTTTAATAGTACCCCGATGTCCAGGAGAGTGTTCAGACCATTTGCTTCCATGACGTGATGTCTCCTTAGCATACTGTCGCTCTCTATACACCTCCCTCTCTAAACTACCGTCTCTAGTACTGCTAGGACTTTCACTTCCATCATGACGGTTCTCCCCTTGCCTCCCACTAAGCTTGCGTCCACAAGTACTCTCCCATGAATCACCATGACTCTTACGGTTCTTATAAGAAGGCTTATATCCAATCACATGACCATGGTCCCTTGATCTAGATCTTCTTGAAGGTTGCCTGTTTAAAAAAAAAAAAAACATATGAGCATGACGCTCCATAACCAATTTAAGTAGGAAATACACTGAAAAGTTAGTTAACGATGAGGATCCTCAGAAGTTAGAACTCCAAATATAAGTTACCTACCTGTGTGAATCTGTGGGTAGATCTGATCTCAAATCGTTTAATGTCCCTGAATATTCACGCTCCATGTGTTTCAAGTATTCATCTGAATAACCAAATAAAGCAGTCATTTTGTGAATCCAGAATCTCGGAGGTGGTTTGTCATGGTCAGCCCATTCATAGTCTCCACCGGGATTTCGGAAGCAATGAATGAAATTGCAAGCAGATCCACGAGAGCAAGTCTGTAAAAATAAATGGAAATCATGAGCTAGAAATAAGCTAGAAGACAAAATCGCAGGTTAAGCACAAGATGAAGAGTCATACTTTAAGCCTAGACTTCATGTACTCCCCACATATGGCAACTTTCCATCTTGAGATGTTGACAAATTCGCACTTCACCTAATGAAGAGGATGTGCAATTATCATGGATAAGAATGTCAGATAGCTGAAAGCAATCAGAAATCACGCCTCAACATACACATCAGCAAAGTTTCAATGCATACTCTAGTTGCTGGATATGAATGTCATACAACCAAATTAACTACTCCTTTTTTGTCATACAAACACATTAATTATTCAACTGAAGATAGATGAATAAACTTGTAAGAAAAAGCAAGAAAAATAGTCTTGCAAATCAAAAATTTCAATCAAAGAAAGTGAGTAAAGTCTCCAAGGAATACCGTTTACCTGTTTACCAGCAAAGTATCGACCATTAATGGATTGGAAGGCAAGAATAGCTGATTCCAGTGATCTGTAGTGTACATATACATTGCCCTTCAAATGGAATGAGCCATTTCTACACACCTGAAATGGACATGGAAAATTTATTTTTGAGAAAGGAAAGCGTAGGAGAGAAGGTCAAATGACAGGACATATCTACCAACAAGATTTATTCTCAAACATGGGATGTCCCAGTTGCTCATTCGATAATGATTAGTGATGCAGGCAATCACTAGTTTTCACAATGGATAGCCAAGTGTGGCTTGCAGGTTCAAAAAATGACATTCAGATTTACTATAAAATGAAGGCTGATAATGGAACAGGAAGAGGTAAGGTAAGTGAGGGAGCAGAAACGAATCGACAGACCTTGAAATTAATAAGTTCTCCATACTTCTGGAACTCTGTATGAACATCTTCATAAAATTCTTCGTAACAACGTTCAGCCTCCTCATCTGTATACTGCAAGGAAGATGGGAAAAAAGAGGGAGAGAGTAAACAACAGCAAGTGACTAAAGGCAAGGAAACGAGGCGAAATATAATGCACATGAGGTCCAGACGTTTTTATATCAAGCAACCCACGATAGCTACAGCCTTACGAAATAACTGCACTAATTCCTTTTCAGAAACTACTAGCCCAAAGCAGCCGGCCCGCATGAAGGACAACGTTCTGTTCTTAATTCAGGAAAATCAAGCACTTCTGAGGTATTAAGCGTTGGATGAATCATTTATCAAATATCACTCACTCCCTCGAGAAAATCAGAAGACACTCAAATTACGAGAAATGAAACACTGACAAAACAATTGGGAGATTGACAATTTGACATAACACTCATTAAATCAATAACTACAAATATACAAGCGATCAAGTTAAGTAAGTGTGTCTATAGTATTCCTATGACGGCAAGAGAGGGCCCTAATACACAAGCACGCAGTAGCTAATCTATCAATCAAGTAGGATACAACGAAGTGAACCGCAACTCCAACCCGGCGCAGGTTATAATCCTGCACCTCCACTGAAGGGAATCCATCAATGTCTGATGTAAGTTAAAGAAGATGGTAACAATAATAAAGAAACAAACAGCATGATTCCGTAAATCCAGAGCACACAGCAAAACAAAACAAAAAGAGGCAGAGGAAATATTAGTCGAGAGTAGTATTATCAGGATACAAGCATCACGAGATGACAGCGCTTACAGACCTCAAGCCCCTCATCTTGTTCCCAAGCAATGCCAGGACCATTATACATGTTCTTCATTAGTATAGTGCACGATTTATCAGGGTAGAAATGAACTCTGCTGCAACGTGGGCCAAACCGACAAGCTCCAGTCTTTAAATGGAACGGACAATGAGCTTTATCCTGAGGAATGCGAGAAAAACAACAAAGCAGCTTTACTAAAAGGAACATAAGAATGATATATTAGGAGGAATACCATCTCAATCAAGAGATACAACAATCACCTGCTCAGTTCCAAAGTTGGGTACTTCTTGTGCAACATTATCCAGAATCTGTTGAGCAGAACTAACATTCTGATAACTGGGAGAAGCTTCAGTTCCCGGAGGTAGAGGATTTGATGTAGGCCTGTCAGCAATCTACAAAACAAACTCTACATTGGAACTCTAAAACACAAACTCAAAATATCGAGGACGGTATGTTCACCTAGATGATGGTCACATACCTTGTTTCCATCCACCTGAGCTACCGATTTCTTTGGAACCCTCACTTTGTTCTTTCTGAGAATGATTTCATTTCCCTGGAAGATAATTTCTGGAGGCCCTTCTTCAATATATTCATATTCACCATCCTCATCCTCACCACATTCATCATTCCCACTAGCCTGCCAAAAGAAGCAAAAAGGGTATGTAAAAAAAGGGTCACAGATTCAAATCCAGTTCAAACTTAAAGATCTCCTCTCAGTTCAGTAGCAAGCAAAGGAAGCTAGATACATCATCAATACGATCTGAAAACCCTAATCAATGCTAGTTAATTCACAACCCTATCGACATTCATTGATTCCCAAAGAGTTTCTTAGCAAACAACCAGACAATGATGAGGAAAGAAATTAAACAACAAACAAGGGACTACCTCAAGCTTTCTCAACTCCTCGAGATCTTTCCAACGCCTC